TTCAGTACACCACCCCAGAACAAAGGGGGAAGTTTAGTGTGCGATTGCCGTGCATTCCAGCAGCTACTGGAACGCACGGCAATTGGTGTGAACAAGCCCTATAGTTCAGAAATGACAGGGGGGTGCTGTGATAGATTACTGTCCACTGACATGTGACAATTGTAAACCAATGCTGAGAAAGAGGAAGCTAGGGGAGGTAGGCACTGGAATTAAGTCTTTTGGGTATTTTATGTTTATGTCCTTTTTTTTTTTTTTTAATCCAACGATCCTTCATGCTGTTTAACTGTTATGATAACAATGCAGAGATAGAAGTTGTGAGTTTGACTCAACATTTCAAAACATTACAGTGACCCCAAACTCTTCTATAACTTTTTACAAAACAAAAACCTTATGAAAAAAAAAGGTTCCGAACGTTCCTTCCCTCCTGCTTCTCTGGGAGAATACTTCAGGTGCTCTTTTATTATTATTGCATTTCTGAAGTATATTTGGTGGGACAATATTAAACTGTCAACTCAATTTTTTTTTTTCAAAAAAATTTCAGTCCACTAACCAGCGACTTTTAAAAGGAACATTCACCCACTTTTCCTTTGTGACATTCATTAGAATACTTTAATCGTAGAGATTTTAGTTCTCATAATGAATGGTGCTTCCATATTTCTTCTTCCATCATGCAAAATCTGTTATTGGAGAAACCAATAATGGAAACAAATACACAAAACTGTGCTGAAAATGGGGTTTGTTTTGTTTTTGAAATATAAATAGACACTAATACTAAGATTTTTGGACTGTTAGATCTTCGGTCTGGCTCTCTCTTCAGACTTTTCACATGTGAATCTTAAACTCTGTGTCCCATGTTTAAGGCGCACCCTGTTTTTGTTAAAACTGGCCTCACCAAGCCCCATAGAAATTCAGTTGACTTTCTTCAACCATGAACTACTGATAAGTCGAATTCAGCGCTTCCAGTATAGTGTTCCAGACTATTAAAAAAAAAAAAAAAAAGACTTGCTCATAGCATCTGGTCCGATGCACACTATACTTTTCTTATTTGCACTATAAAAATGACAGCTGGAATATGATTGCTATCTACGACACAAAAACCCCCTTAAAGAAGAACTCTAAGAATATAAAACTATTTTACCCTTGCAGTGGGGCTACCTCTGCACCGCAAGGGTTAAGTGCTCATTTTGTCTAGGGGGCTAAAATGAAGCAGATATACTCACCTGATCCTCGGTCCCACTAGAATGGTCCTCTTGGTCACTTCTCCCCTGGGTTCTGGCGATCTAGGGACATCATGTTTTGTGCAGGTCGGGTGAGCGTAGGGCGGCGCACGGCTGCGTACTCTCATAGAGAAGGACAGGCTGCTGCGTGTAATCACGCGCAGCACCTGTCCTTCCCGGGAGCGGCCCGATACGGCGTGCACGCATCACGGATCTGTATGGGCCGGCCGTTTCTCGTGTGAATGAGGGCTAAACATGGCTGCTGTTGGGAAGGGCTTCTCCAACTTGGCATGGCTCAGCCAGACGTTTGTGTTATCTGGATCTTTCCACAAAGGCCCAGGGAACTCAAAGTGCATAGTTCACGTGGTGAAGACTAGAGAAAAACGGAAATGATATCGGAGCCGTCCTGTACAGCAGTACAGACAGTTCTAATTTCAGACACTTTAAGAAGCCGGGTTGGATGTCTGTTACAATGTGCAGCGTCACATGAATGTAACCATGAAGTGGCCACAGCAGTAAAAGTAACAGTGAATGTATACACTGGACATATACACTGTATTTTCAGCTTTATGTGATGAAGAAAGTGCTAGAGAATTTTGTATTCTGATACGAATTATAGTTTGAAATGCTGATTTTCTTTCAGAGTTGTGGATAATATATATGTTTGTCAAGTTTTATTGTTACTGATAATGTTCTAAAAGGTTTGGTTAACCTTTAAAAAAAATTAGTTTTTAGTAGTATAGGAAGAGTTAAAAGGGCACCTCCAGGCAAAAAGCAGCTAAACAGCTTTTCGCTGTGCAAATTCACTGCACTGTATAGCCACTAGATGGAGCTGAGGAGCACAGGAAATTTCTATCCTCCTCAGCTCCATCTAGTGGCCATAAAGTGCTGCAAATCTCATTCGCACAGCAAAGAGCTGTGTGAACAGTTTATAAATCAAACCTTGTATAATATGCTTTACCTGGCAAGAGACCTCTGATGCGCATAGTCTTGTAATACATCACCCCTCCTGTGCTATATGGCTGCTCATAAAGAAGGTGACAGTAAAAACTTCAGAGCTTGCAATTCTGTAGACTCCGTGCCCCAGTCCAGCCCTTTGCTTGCTTTTTAGACTTCTAGTGGATATATCCACTTTGGTGGAATCTACCATTCACTCTCTAGTTACCTGGCAGGTAACTACTACATGCATTTTTGAAAGACACATGAATTGTTTTGCAGCTAAAAGATTTGTAATGTGATTCGCTCACCTCTTCCATGAAGCACAGCCAGATGGATGACAGCCCTTTTTCCTGGTTAAGCTTTGCAGCTTGTTTATTGAGCAGTGAATTGGCAATATCGCTTGCGTCCTGCTAACAAGTAGGTGACATAATTGAGGAAAGTGTTATGAGAGAGGTCTGTTATGCACAAGACTGGCTAGACAGAATTACAAGTCCTTTGGCAGGTAGAACAGTTCACATGTACTTAACAAAAAAAAGAGTTTGACGTTTTCATAAATACGTTTGTTTTGCCTGGAATTGTTCTTTAAAGACCTAAACAAGCTTACAATGTTTATACTTGCTGTCTCTCTGGTCTGCCTGACCAGTGAGCGTTTTTTCACCATTTGAGGTTCATTTTCTCTGACTTTGTTACCATTAGGGCAGCGAGACAACAAAATTCAGCATTGCATGTCTTCTAAGATGGCCGATTTTCAGCAACTATATTTAGTGATTGTAAAATATACTTCCAGACAACTTTTGGGTGCGACCTTCACATATGCTTGCTGTTCTGTATTTTCCACTGCTTGCTGGATAACTGTTGAGATCAAATTTGGCTTCAGGATAGGCCACATAGACTGATTAAACTGCAATAGTGAGGAAAAGCAAAGCCCAGTAGCTCTGCAACACTACTGAACAGGAATCAAATCCTGTATAGGTAATGAGGAGATATGGCTGCTTGCTTCTGCCAGTGCAGTTCCAAACTATATATAGAAACAAGACTTTTAAAACCGTTAAGTGAACCTGTCATTAGTGACCTCATGAATCAGTACATTGTGCGTCAGCATCACCAAATCATGCTATTGGGAGGAATAAAGAACCTCTTTCTTGCCATGAATTTAGAGAAGAAAAACACTTGTAAGCACTTATGTGACTTAAACTGAACCTGTAGCTAAGCTATGGACTTTCAAGACCAACGTAGATAAGCTAAATACATGCCAAGTGCCTACCAGTCTTAGCTTGTTTCCTTTAGAAAGCAGTTAGAGTAGAAAAGCCTGGACACTTTCTCTTCGCTTGATGCAGTGGACTCTGCAGAGGTGCAACAACTCCCTGTTAAGTCAGACCTATAGCTCTTCAGTCAGCGAATATCATGCTCCCTGCTGATTGTAGAGCTCAAGCTCTTTGCAAAGGAGCCACTGCATCCACGCACAGAGTAGGGGCCTTCTCTGCTGCATGCTGGCAGAGAACAAGCCTTTCTACAGGAAATGAGAACTTTTGCACCTGCAATCTATTTATCTGATTTAAACTGGAAGTTAAGTTAAACATTAAGCAGTAAGTGAGCTTTAAAATAAGCCCCCACTGACCTCTGTGGCTGTGGGCATTGTGGAGCAATTCGTCCTTAAATTTCATATCGGAAGCATGGAAGTTTAAGTCCTTCTCTAACAAAAAGCTCTGCCCCCCTCCTTGCAGCGGCTCAGCAGCCTCTTGTTCTGTAATGCAAACAAGGCAGAAGCTTTGGGAGGGTGGAGCAGAGCTGCCAGGTCACTGCTGGAAGGAGAGGACGGGGAACTGAGCTGCTTAGAGAAATATTTGCAGGACTCTGGTTTTGCTTTGAAATTTGATGATGAATTGCTCCACAGGTCCTGCAGCCACAGAGGTCGATGAGGACTTGTTTCAAACCTCATATACTGTTTGTTTAAAATACAAAGTACTTGAATGTTCTTAGCATGGGCATAGATTCACTTTGAATCCAAGGCAGCCTAAATGACATGGTCACAAAGCTACCAGGGCCTTGTGTCAATAGAGACTGCAAAGAGTTTGTTGTTTTCAATCAGATTCTGCCTGTCCGTGCGGGTGTCACTGCTCTGACACCGACAGGATCCATCCGGTCAGTGGACGAGTACTGACACCCTCACCCGTACGGACGGCAGGTCGTGTGAGCGTACGGCCGCGTACTCCCATAGAGAAGGACGGGCTGCTGCGTACAAATCACACGCAGCACCTGTCCTTCCCGGGAGCTGCCTGATACAGCCATGCACGCCGCACGGATCTGTACGGGCCGGCCAGCCGTTTCTCGTGCGGATGAGGGCTAAGTGTCACTGCTGATCAGGAAGATCCCATATACAAAATAAATTACAAACAACACATAAAACCTTGGCTCATAATAACATTACTTACATTAAGAAGTTATTTTATGTATATATCTAATAAACTGTAGTGCCCTTTACCCTTTAATAACTTGGCAACACTATTATTTGCACATGGATAACTCGCACATGTGTGTATGTATGTATGTAATATATATATACATACATACAGTTTCCCTTTAACTGTTTCATATTGCCTTTCTTTTATCAGGTCTTTGTAACGTTATTCTCAGTTTTCATACTGTGAGGTTTGACAGATTTATATATATTTTTTTTTTGAGCTTATTTTTTTATAGAATTGTAATCAAGCGCTGTACATTCCAAATATTCTACTTGGGTAATGTTTTCATTTTTTTTTTATCAATAAAGCGTGTTTATTTAAACCTTAACTTTTGGCCAGTTTGTGTTTTTGGTGCCTAGCGAGAGGAAGGTTCTTGCAGAGCTGAGTTTAGGGATCTCTGTCCTAAACTGATTAAAATAGGGTTGGAATTTTTAGTTTAGTTTTTTTTGGAGGCCTTATGTTATGGGTTTTCTCCTCATACTTTGTGCTCTGTCCACCTCTGTTCTTCATTCTTGAGCCCCTGAACAACCTCTCCTGTTCTAAATCTTAACATCCTGCGCTATCTCTGCCTGTCTGTCTCCTCTCAGGACTTGGCCCAAACATTTCCTCCACCCCTGCACACGAAGTCGGTAGAAGGACCTCTGTCCTTTTCTCCAAGAAGAATCCCAAAACGGCGGGACCTCCAAAGAGACCCGGGAGGCCACCAAAGAACAGAGACAGCCAGATGTCGTCGAGGCAGATCAGCAGTCCGATCGGACCCCCTCAGCTGTCTATAATGTCCCAGAGGCCGAGGAAAAGAGGCAGGAGTCCCCGGCCAACATCCAGTTCAGACAGTGAAAGCGACAGTGACAGGTCGGCAGAAGATGCCTCTATAGGTAAGTCGGGGCCCAGACGCTGCAGATTGAAGTAGATCTTATCCCAGTCAGTTACATCTCAAAAACTTTGAATCTGTTAGTGTAATTTCAAAGGGTGTTTTTTTAATTGTATTCTTCAGCTTTTAAGGTCTTTTGTTCAGGCACTTCAGCTGTTGGGGTGGCGGGGGGCAACTTTCTCCTGTTTCTTTGGTCATCCTCTCGCATGAGCTCCTGTATGAGAGGCTGTGCCGACACACATTGCACAGGCATGGTCCACTGTTGCCATTTTCAGGTCCACAACTATGATGTGCAGCCCATGCTTGAGCGAGCACATATAGACAGAAAGAGACTGAAGGAGATCAGCAGCACTGATGAAAAAAACACTTGCAATGGTTTGATACACAGTGCTTTACCAAACTAAAAATCCTCTAGTTCAAGTAGTTTTATGGGTGAACCACCAGAAACATGGCAATGGGACATTTACTATTAGGTTGATTTTAGCATGTTTCCAATCTCAGAAATTGCCCATTACATCCCTTATCTTCAGTGTTTTAGGCCCGGTCACATGACTGCAAATCATCCTAGCACTCAAGCGGTGCTTGAGTTAAGTCTGACAATACCAGCCCCCACACGATGAAAGGTGCAGGTTCGAGGTACCAACAATGCTAGGGAGGGAAGCCATTTGCAAAATGGCTGCTTAACAGCATGTCATGACCCACCTCCTTGATTGGTCAGGAAGCCAGGCTGTCTATCAACAAGTGAAGCTAATCAGAAGGCCGGAGGTGGGTCATGACATGCCGGCCGGCTTTCTGATTGGTTAGGAAGCCGGCTTCACTTTTTTTTCTAGGTAGCTTGGCTTCCTGATCAATCAGGAAGCCGGGCGGCACGTCATGACCTGCCGCCTGGCTTCCTGATAATCCGGGCCCACGGATGCCGGTATTAGTATTCAGTATCGGCAAGTACCAAAAAAAAAAATCGGTACTCGATATCGGAAAAACTGGTATTGGTGCATCTCTAGTTTTCATCTACATTTTTTTGGGTCACATGACTACATTTCTAATGTACTCCTCTGAATCAAAGTCAGCATATAGTGGCATATAACCTGCTATATGTGGACAGCACAGAGCCATGCTGCAGCCTGGAAAGACAATATTGGCTGCATCCACCCCGCTGCCTTATTTGACAGCTGGCTCTGTCTTTCTAGAGCCAGATCCAGCTGTGCCCCCCCCTCATCTGTCCCTCCAATAAGTGCTGGAGGAACAGAGAGGGGAGGGGATATTCCTGCAGGGAGCAGTAACTGACAGTCACCATTCTGTGCAGGGAGAACCCGTGATGTGCAGGGAGAAACCCGAGCAATCAGTGGTTTGTGATCGCTCAGTTCTCAAGATATAAAGTTGTCGTGACCGCTGCAATGTTGCACGCCGGCTCAAACTATTAGGACGTGTACATTTTACTCTCCCAATAGTTTGTCTTTAAAGTCAGCATATGGTTTTTGATTAGCAAATGATCCAGCTGCTACATAGTTTCGACCACCAAGAGACCTATAACCAAGCAAAATGATATCCTACAGTTTGTATGTACAGTACTATACATGTCATTGTAACATGCCACTGAGGCTCACCTGGCCTTGAAGGAAGAATAAACTATTGGCCTTGAAAACTTTCCTGAGGTTTGTCAGCTTGGTACACCATGGATATCCCTTTCCCACCACCACCATCATTAATGACTTATGAAGAACAAGGAGGAGGTTCAGGCCTGCCAAAGTATAACCGAAGGAAGAGTGGCCACACGTTTCAGAAATTGAATTGGGTTTAAGTTAAAGGAGAATTATGGGGTGAGCGAAAACACTCATCCCCATAATTCAAGCCGACCTGTGACAAAGAAGCTGTCACAGGTCGACTCTATTGATCGGTAAGTCAGCGAACACACACCACCGATCGCTGACTTCCCGATCCTCTCCTTGCAAAGAGCGGTGACGGTCAGTCACCGCTCCCCACAGGGATTCCCCCCGCGGACTGGAGGGAGGGGGCGGGCACACTAGAGAGGCAGAGCCCGTTGTCAATCAGCCAGCATGAAGGATCCCAACAGTATTGTCGGGATCCGTCCTGGGTGCGGCACTCTCCGCATATAGCAGGCAATAGCCAGCTATATGCTCAGTTTTGGGTCACCTGAGGACACAGTATATGTCCTCCTGTGACCCCGAGGAGAACTATGGGCAAAAAAAACAAGGTTGCCCCATAGTTCTCCTTCAAGTGTTCAGCTTAGGTGGTTATGGTTTACTGAGGCAAGGTGAAAATATTTATTTGGTAGACACGACGGAACCTAGGCTTCGTTTTTAAGTAAAAATTAGTTTTTGCATGTAAACTGGCCACAACCAACTTGTCTATAAAAAAAAACCATAAATAAAACTTCCAGTTTTTTGGAGTCATGACACCTGAGGCAGCATTAGAAACGTTGGTAGCTCTATGTGACCACTTCTCAGCATTTCATAGCTGTCAGTTTTGGGGTTGAGTACAGACACAGCATACCTTCCCCTTTGGGTATGTACAGGCAACTTCCAGTGCCTGCTCTTGAAGTAGAACTGTGGCCAGGCTATGGACATTCACATATGTACATATTAACAAGCAGTAGTTAAGCTTCAAAACAAGCCCTCACTGACCTTGGTAGCTGTATAGAGACTGTGGAACAATTAATTCTTAAATCATTTAGTTGTCGGCATCCTGGCCTTCCTGTGTCTAATGTTTAAGGAGAACTATGAGGTGAGTGATTTTCACTCAGCCTCATAGTTCTAGCTGACCTGCGACAATTAGACTGTCACAAGTCGGCTCAATAGCTCAGGAAGGAGGCGAACACATACCGTCACTCGCTCACTTCTCAATCCTGTCCCTGCAGAGAGCCATGACTGTCACTCACGGCTTCCTGCAGGGATTCCCCCTCTCCCCGCTCTGATCCTCCAGCGGGGAGAGGGCGGGTACAGCTGGCTCTGCTTCTAGATAGGCAGAGCCAGCTGTCACTCACACAGCTGGGTGGATCTCGACAGTAATGTCGGGATGGTCTCAGTATACCGCGAGCTGTAGCTTGCAGTATACTGAGCTTTGGGTGACAGGAGGAGGCTAGTTTATGTCCTCCCGTGACCCTGAGGAGAACTATGGGGAAAAACACTGACCCCATAGTTCTCCTTTAAACATAGATCAGGTGCACAGAAAGAAGGGAAAAATAGAGTGCTCGGATCTGACTTGCATGACTTCACTGCTGAACTTTCAGCATTAATTACTCCACAGTACCTAAAGCCACAGAGGTGAGTGAGAGGCTTGTTTTAAAGTGTATTTGCTGTGTATTGAGAATATGTAAGTACTTAAATGTCCTTAGCCTGGCCACAGGTCTATTTTAAGTTATACTGGTATTTTGTTTATACCGTCCAGACCAGATACTGGTTGGCTTAAAGCAATGTTCAGGGGCTGATCCATATTTCCTATAGTTATGAAAGGCACTGCCCCCAAAACTCTACCTGCACCACATGTATTCAAACAATCATGGATCTAATGTTCTGGGGGGAAAAAAATAGATTTTCCATTATCTAATGTGTTTCCATATTTTCAGACATGCCCACCAATGGCTTCAGTGGCAGCAACCAGCAGGTGAAAAAAAGTTTTTTAATTTACCGCACTGACTGCAATCTTCCCCGGAGCAGCTCCGACTCCGAGTCCAGCACCACCAGCAGCAGCAGTGCTGCATCAGACAGAACCAGGTAAGCTTACTGAACATAATAGGCCGTTCCAAACAAACTGATCAGGTGAGGATTGATGGAGCAAGCAGTGGCGAGTGTCCTGCTCGTGATGTTTCCTAAGCAGTCTTCTTAGGTCTCTTATTCACCATATGGCCAAACTTATGTGGGCACCCGACCTTCCGCACCTATGTGAGGCTAGGTTCACACCGCACGTCCCGGGTGTTGTGTGGTCCTGCACAATGCAGGCAGCGATTGCCACGCGGAACCGTGCGCTCTGCCTGGCGCGACTGGGGTGCCATAAGAAAATAATGGCACCCACAGTGCGATTGGTTCACACCTTGGCGACTCGTGGTTGATTGCTGCGCAGTGAGGTGTCACCTAGGTGTGAACCTAGCCTGAGCTCTTAATACCTGACCATCTGATTGGATGCATTGTTTAGTTATTGAGAGCCAGCGGGGCCGACTAGCAAGATGCTGAAGCTTGGCCCAGTGGGAGGTTCCTCCATCTGCACAGTTTAGCGTAGATGGAGGAATCTGTTGCACTTTTTACATCTGAACACAGATAATCTATAGGTGTATGGCCAGCTTAAGTGTTTTATTTTTTATTGAATGGGAGAGGCATAGATTAGACACGTGGCTATATTAAACATGTGCAATTGTTTACAATAGGGATCTTAGATTGTAAGCGACTTGAGGACAAGGAGTGATGTGAATGTACAGTATGTAAAGTGCTGCACAATGGTCAGCTCTATAATAATAAGAAGCACAGCTGCTATATGCAGTTTATGATACAGTTATTTAGTGGTATACTTTGATACCGTGTTTCCCCGAAGATAAGACACTGTCTTATATTTTGTTCCCCCGAAAAAAGACACTAGGTCTTATTTTCGGGGGATGTCTTATTTTTACCTGGCTGCAGCTGTCTGGAGCTCTCCGCTCTGATGCCATCCAGGGAGCCACCAATCAGAAGTTCCCTGACCTCACTTCGACCCGCGCTGTGCCTGCTGTGAATTGTAGTTTTCAGCGGCAGCCGAGGCAAACAGGTGGGCGTGCGGGAGGGAGGGAGCTGCGGCCAGTCTTGACATGTAAATTTCAATTATATGTGCAGCTACCCCGAAAATAAGACCTAGAGCTATCTTCAGGGATTTCGGTAATATAAGACCTACCACCGAACTAGGTCTTATTTTCGGGGTAGGTCTTGTATTACAGAAATCCCTGAAGATAGCGCTAGGTCTTACTTCCTGGGAAACACGGTAGGTTACGTCTAAGTGCAAACTGAGAATATCAGTGATCCAATCACTAAAGCAAGGGGTAATTTGTACAGCAATGGTGTACAGAACACCCCCAGGTTGTCATATAGCATTACATTTTTAAACCATTAAAAAAAATTACAGCTGCTTCCGATTCCAATAGAAATGTATTTTATAGCATTAAATCAGAAAATAGGTTGTGTAGCAATGTTATATGCTATATACATTTTTTTCATGAAAAGTCCATTTACGTTTTTTTTTTTTGCTTGCAGCACAACACCTTCTAAACAGGGACGAGGAAAGCAATCCTTCTCGAGAGAGAACTACCATGACTACAGCAGCGAGGACACGTCGGGAACTGAAAACGAGTCCTATTCCTTGGGGGGGCGAGGACATGGCTGTAAGTACCTCTGTTCAGAACAGTACACATTGGGATAGCCTCACTTTCCTAAATCCTCACTGCCATTTTTCTCCCCCAACTGTTAATTTGTCAGACATATTTTACCCATGCTAATTAAAGTTGATTTTAATAAAAAGAAAATTTCAGAATTTAAATAAAACACTTGGCCCACCCAGTCTGTTCACTTTAATCAAAAAATGTTTGTTTGTTTTTTTGTTAATTGGTAAACTTGGATAGAATAGTCCGGGTATTTTATAACACACATGCCATGTACATGTTATGGAGTTTCCCATTGTTGTACAGTCTGTCATCTGATTAGAAATCCCGCTGTACAATTTGTGTCATAATCATGAAAACATTATTGTCCAGAATGGTCGTATACTGATAGAGTACTTTAAAGGCCTGATCCACTAAAAAAACTGATATTGCACTCTTGCTTCAGTCCTAGCATGTTGAGTCACATATCGGCTTCTTATATCCCTCAGGGACTTCAGTGATGAGGTGTTCCCAGTTGCCATAGTCATTACATCACCAATTGTTGGTGTTACTTTCTCCCAGTGATTCTTTAAAAAAAAAAAATGCAGTAAAGAATCCTGCTGTGAGAGAGTGACACCTCACTAACTGGAGGGTATGGCCCTGCTGGGTAATTCTCTGGGAGTTGTAGAGAGGCAGCCTATTCAAGGAGAAATGACCGTCTACAGATAGCCACCCACCCATCAACACCAATATCTCCACTCCCCTGAGCTGCTGTTCTGTTGTCCTCGTGGAGCAGGGCATCTGGGTATGGGGGAGCATGTGACCTTCCCCATATGATGTGATGGTGAAGAGGGACCATGGGTATACTTTACCTGTAGTCTGCAGACCGTATCTCTTTAAGAAGCTGAGGAAAATGTTTTAGGTGGATTTGGCCTTTAACATTTCTTGGGGATATGTAATCCCTTCAAAGTGTGTATGTAGCATGTTCTCTTTAAAGGTTATGTCCATCCGAAGCAGACGGTTCAGGGTTTTTTTTGGTGGATACTGAGGGTTGAATCACTCAGGGAGAGTATAGAATACCCCTATTGGGGGCTGGAGCGGGGGGAATGGTGGACCCCATCACTAGGTGTTGAAGTGGCCTCAGCAGTTGAGCAGATTTGGGAATATACAGAGGTCAGAGAGGGATTTTTTTAGAGGATATCTAATCCCAAGAGCAAGCAGTTTATATATTGCAGTGCACCAGTCTTGAGATGTGGTGGGTGCCCTAGTTTTAATTTTTCAGGCCAATAATATTTCCTGCAAGTACAGAAAATATCTGTTGATCTTGCCAGAAATGCTGTGCCCGTGTCACTATTAGCTATGAACTAAAAGCACAAACCATGTTATCTTCCTTCTGTAGACTACTTATTCCCCCACATCATGTAAAGGAGATAACCAGAGGAAGACATGTTTGAAGTCCAGCCTGGGTGGCAGCCATGGCTCCTATCATAGATCTAGTGGAGTTAGTGAGCGTAGCCACCCAGGGACAGGAAGTATGTTATTTGCAGAATTACCAGGTCAAAAGAAAGAAAGAAAAAAGCCTGAAAAGAAAAAATCATGTGCAGCCACCACATCAAAATACTGGCGAGCTGCTATATATTCATTTTTTGTTCTTGGGTTTAGATCCTTTAAAGGTTACATACCGTTTGTTAAGAATATGTAAGCATATGTCAAAACCTGAATGTCCATAGCCTGGCCACGGGTTCACTTAACGATCATTGCATTTTTTCCTTATCTTTGTTTGTGTGATTGGGATATTTCTGGTACGAGGCCCTCAGGTGCAGAGATAGTAGAGCAAGAGGTTTTGTTTTTTTTGTATATTTTCCCGTTTATATATTTACTTTATAAGATTTTATATTGTACTGTATGATTTGTGAGATTCCAGGCAGACCTATGACTTGTGACCTTTTCTGTTGTTTGATAGTGGTACGCAAAGGAATGGAGGGACGAGGGGCGGGGTGGCTGTCCGAAGACGAAGACTCTACTCTAGACGCCTTAGACTTGGTGTGGGCCAAGTGTCGGGGATACCCCTCCTATCCAGCTCTGGTAGAGATCAGTTCCTCCCCTATTATTCTACTTAATGTTACAGTAGTTGTATAATTGTCCACCATAACTAATCATCATGGGTCGGCTGAACCTACCAAAAAAAAAAAAAATCCATCTTTTATTTATGATTTTTTGATGTGCCTTCAATTTGTATGTTGTGAATGTCCAGGCCTTGTGGAATTTTCACCAACTCTTTTTCTTTTCTAAAGATTATCGACCCAAAGATGCCCAGAGAAGGAGTGTTTCACCACGGGGTTCCCATTCCTGTACCACCCGTAGATGTTCTCAAGCTAGGAGAGCAGATGACAGAAGAAGCACAAGAGCATCTCTACCTCGTTCTGTTTTTTGACAATAAACGGACTTGGTGAGTGTTCGTTAATAGGATATCTGTGTGGACAGTAAATGTTTCTTCTAAGTGGGGTCTACACTCGCCTGGATGGAGACTGCCTCAGGCCCATGGCCATTCCCTTTTATTTTTTTTCCGCCATGGTGGATAATTGCATACTAATGCTTTTAGACAATACATTCAAATACTAGAAGTAAATCATGTGCAGCCCACTTCCCCAACAACGTTATGTCCACTTTTCCGGTTGTCACCTGCTGTTCTTGCTCCTTCACTGCTATTTCCAAATGATCGAATATCAGCTGGTGTTGGAGCTCAGAGGGCGGAAATGGAGCAGTTATGTCGCCTTTTCCATTACATGACAATACTTTGGCCGATCAGTGCATCATGGGAAACAATCGCATGCTCCTCTTATATGAAAGCATTGTGTATTTTGCAGCACTATCCACACAGGAAGAGTGTCAGGGTAGCACTGGAGAGATGAGTATAAAGTGCTTGGGGGTAAGATATACACGCTTTAGAGCATAACCTATAAATACAAAAAAGAAGTGAGGTGAAGAAATATTATATCCTGCTTGTGACTGGGCATGCTATATTTTTTTGGCACTGGACATAGGTTATACATATGATATACATCATAGACTCCAGAACCATTTTGGTCATAAGCAGGTTAGTGCCTTGCCTTGATAAAGGTATGCATTAGTACTTCATTTAAAATTTCCTTATGCTTAAAAGAGAACTATAGGGTAACCTTTTTTTATCCCATAGTTCTCTTAACCTCCTTGGCGGTATTCCCGAGTGTAGCTCGGGGTTACTTTTCCATACCCTGAGCTACACCCGGGAATATCCCACATTATTTACTTACCTTGTCCCTCGAGCCGTGCGGTGTCCTCAGGGCCGGCGCAGGCATCTATCTTCCGGGTTCCGTCCCTTGCGAGCTGACGCGTCGCATGTTGGCGGAACCGGCGGGAAATTCGAAAAAAAGCGAAGAAATAAAATAAGGAAAAAAATCCGAAAAAAAATTGCGCCGAAAAAATTACGAAAATCAAAATAATCATACCGCCAGGGAGGTTAAGGGTCACGTGAGGACATATACGAACCTCCTCCCGTGATCCAAAGCTCAGTATACAGCTTGGATAATACTGTCGAGATCAAACCTGCTGGCTGATTGACAGCTGGCTCTGCCTATCCAGACGCAGAGCCAGCTGTGCCCACCCCCTCCCCGTCCGTTCCTCTAGTCAGTAATGGAGGGGAATCCATGCGGGGAGCGGTGACTGATGGTCATTGCTCTCTGCAGGGAGATGATCGGACAATGAGTAAGAGACGATATGTGTTCGCTCACTTCCCGAACAATACCCTGTTTCCCCGAAAATAAAACCTACTACTATTTTTGGGAATTGCTAAAATATAAGACCTAGTTGTGACCATTCCCAGGGCCGGTGGTGGCATAAGGGGGAACTTAAAGAGCCGTGGGAGAGGCAGGAGAGAATCAGCGGTGCCAACGAAGCCAGCGCTAGAGGAAGCAAGGCGGCAACGGAGGGAGCAGAGCCGCATATGTCGATGCCTCCTCTATAGCTCCGGCTTTTGTCACAGGCGGAGTGATACCAAATGCACTCCGCCTGTGAGGAGTCCATAGTGAAAGCGCACTTCGGTCATTCTGGTTACCAAATTGCTCTTGGAAAGGTACGGCACCCCTGATTACCATATTTTTGTACATGAATACATGTAGACATTTCTACATGAATAACTGTGGATTGTTGTACATCAAAAAAAAATAAAAATAAGACCTACCCCAAAAATAAGACCTAGTGTGTTTTTTTGAGCCAAAAAAAATATGACAGTGTCTTATTTTCGGGAAAACACGGTAGAGCCGACATGTGACTGCTTCAATGTCACACGTCGGCTCCAACTATGAGGATGAGTGAAAGTCACTAACCTCATAGTCGTCCTTTAATGATATTGCTACCTGTTGCATGTCACGTATGCTTAAACTGAACCTGTGATTTGCCCAAGCAATTCCTACAAGTTGAACGCACTTGCTTTCCCTTCACTCACCCAACGCTCCGTTCAGCCGCCAGCACAAAGTGAGCAAGCCTGTTTAAGTTGCAAGTTACAACTTGGAACTTACACAGGGTAAAGGACTCTCTCTCTGGCTCCATGTGACTGGTGTCCTACTATTCAACATGTGGCTCCCTTTTTTTTCACCTACATGCTTTTATTTATAACTGTCTCCAACTATGCATGCAGACCAAGCTGTTCAACAAAAGTGACCATTACAGGGCTTGAGACAAACGTACTCAAAAAACAAACATTTCTGTGTTAATAATGCTATTGACAGACAGCAGCAAATGTAATTTTTGCGTTTGCCCATAGTTCCACTTTAACGGTTTCCTTGTAAAATAATGTATTACTAGTGTGTAATACTTCATATCTTTGCTCTACAGGCAGTGGCTGCCCAGAACAAAGCTGGTTCCGCTGGGGCTGAACCGCGAGCTGGATAAAGAAAAAATGCTGGAAGGGAGAAAATCAAACATCCGCAAATCTGTGCAGATCGCCTACGAACGCGCCGTGCAGCACCGCAACAAAGTCCAAGGCACGCAGAGCAGCGAGACAAGTGAAAGTGACTAGCGCCTTCCGTTATCCTCTGGGGCATTTTCTTGCCGACCATCTGGGTCACATCCTCTGCTGCTGTTGCTAAGAGTAAAATACACGGTAACCTGAACCAGAGAGGTTACCTTAAAGTGAGTAGCAGTTAATAAATGAACAAGCGTTTTCAGCTAGCGTGACTACGACGGAGAGGGCCAGTGCTGCACTTTTGTGGGTCGCTGCGAGCACAGATAGGGCTAACAAGTAGCAAACAGGACGACGATGACATTCTGACAAGATGTCCTTATGGTCGCTGGTTGACCATTTTAATACAAACCATCTAACACAGGCCTCCGTCTTGTGGAGTTAACGGACGTGCTACTGGGGTCGGCTGTTTTTTGTTTTTTTTGCTGGTTACACATTAATCATGGATTCCTATGTGCAGACTTCATACCATTTGTATATTGAGCTGTCTGATGGTTTTATTAAGGAATTTGGATCTTCCATCCCTTCAGATACGTATGTTCCATTCCTATTATGTTCTCTCTGCAAAATTTGTAACAAAAGTTGTGAGCTTGCACCAGAGGAAAAAAAATATATATATATATAAGCCAGTGGTAGGCAAAGTCCATCCCTCTTGCTGTGGTGCAACTACAGATCCAATCATGCATTTGTTTCTGGGAGTTATGTCTGTGGCTGTCAGACTCTTGCAATGCCCAATAGGATTTGTAGTTGCACCACAGCTGAAGGGCCCGGAGTTTGCCCACCCCTGCCTTAGTCTTAATGTAGAACTGTTTCCAGACATTTAAATATGTACAGGCACTAAATGAGCTTCAAAACAAGCCATCAATGAGGAGAAATTCATCTTCAGAGTTCACAATAGAAGCACTGAAGCCAGGTTGAAGGACTTTTCACGCTCTGGTCTTCCTGTACACCTTGCTGGTAGTGGGGGGAGCAAGGGGAAGTTGAGCTGTGGAAAGTTAGTTATTGTGCCGTGACAGCTCAAATGCAGAATTCCTTAACAGTACATGCAGCTACAGAGGTCAGTAAGGGCTTATTTCAACACTTATTTACTGCTTGTTGACAATACATAAATATTTCAATGTCCATAGCCTAACTACAGTTCTACTTCATTCACCAAGTTATAATGATCCTTATTTGCCATATTGACAATTACTTTTAGCAGCGACAACCAATGAGAGTCTAAAATGAAAGCCTCATGGCGGTCATTGTGGTAAATAACACATGCATTATAGCACAGTGAATTAAGACGCTTGTCTGTAATAAGTGTTGGTTAGGTATCGGTTGATATATTTCCTGCAGCCAGCTTTTTAGTTCATAACTTCAGACCTGCTCAGGTGTCATTTGACAGGCAGGTTTGAACCTCATCCGTGACTTCGGCCAAATAACATAGTGCTTGGGATTGACACTTGAGACACAAAGCCCAGTGAAAGCCTAAATCTCTACATGTGTGTTGGGAGGGGAACGGGTGATCTGGGATAGCTGTAAAATCTCCTACAGGTTTTTTTTTTATGTTAGGAATCATGTTTTACCCCGCACAATAAAAACTGTAAACCACTTTTTTAGCTTTTTATGCATTACCATATCAGTTCTCCTTTTTTTTTCTGGAGCAGCCAACAACAAAGAAAATTTGGGGAGTAATCGTGTCATGTGTCTGAAAGTCACAGCATTCTGATGCCTTGAGGACTTTTCTTATGTCCCCACAATATAATTGCACGCTGCGTAGCAGCCAGCATACCTTGAATGCGGCTGGTCCAGCCAAGCATCATTGGAGAAGAGCAGCTTGATGAAGAACTCCAAGATTTTTTTTTATTAACCCTTGCTGTGCTTCTTTGTGTCTAGATAAAAAAAAAAAAAAAAGTTGGAGCTGGCTTCTTCTTAGGCCGGTCCTTTCAGAGTCTCTCCCCCTCTTGCAGCGTTCTAAGGCCCCATAAATCATCAGGTCTAGTGTATAGAAGTGAGGATGCTAAGGAGGATTCCAATGTGCAGAGGGAGGGAGGCTGGAGGAAGCACTGTGACAGCCGGCTGGGAGCTTGCGCTGAGTACAACGTTTTTATTTTTATCCCTAGACACAAACGAGCACCTAACCCTTGCAGTGTGGCGGTATCCCCATTGCAAGGGTTAATAAAAAGATTCCCCTTCTTTAACAAAATCCCGAGTGCCAGTGATTTACAGACTCTAATTATTGGTTCTGCGACAGATTACATACTCCGTACTCAGTAGATTGACGTTTTTCCAATTAGCGGGGTTTTCCGTTCCACATGAAAATTAGACACCTTGTGATTGCTCTTTGTGGAGACAGCCTCATTAAGCAGCAGGAATTCTTGACTTACTGCTGTTTGCCTTGGTTAGACTTAGTGCACTAAGATGTTCTGACTAGTGCAGTGTCTGTGGCCTTTTTATCAAAGATGCAGCAATTTGTCAGTCCATTAGGAACAGTCACACAAGCTGATTTTTAATGGTAGCAGTGCGGTCATATATTCATCCGAGCTACTTTTGAGTTATGTCAAATGCGATAGTTTGGGCAAAGTTTAAATTGCTGTCAGTGTCACTATAGAGGAGATTTTCTCTCCATGGTCAACATTACAGAAGGTGAGCCGAAAGCTCCCTAGCATAGAGCACACACAGCAATAAACAAAATAACACCACACTTCCCTGCTGTATCCAAAAAGCTGAAATCCAAGCTAGGCAAATATGGTCTAAATACAAGAGTCCTGTGTATTCTCACTTGAATCTTGGTGAGCTTTGTGTATTTCTTCCCGATCTGTGTAGTAATCCAGCATTAAACAACTCCTGCACTTTGCCTCGGTGCAGCAATAAGACCGGTCACTGCTGCTCTCTGTCATTGTGCAGGATGGCCAGTCTTGTCTCCGCCCCCTCCTGTAGTTTTCCGCATGCAGCCTGTAGTGGGTGGGGCCTGCTGTGTCCCTCCTACAGCTCGGCTCTTAACACAGGCTGACGCCACTGCTAATTTTACAAGGGAATATCTGGGTTTGCAAAGGCAATTGGTGCGCACACGGTGGATTATATATTTGTTGGGTATTGAGAAATATATTTAAATGAACATTTTTGTGCCTGGAGTTTCTCTGTGAGAGAAAATAATAACTGGGCCTAAAACAAGCCGTTTCCCGAAGGACTGTAGAAACACGTATAAGACTGTGGATGGTTATCATGGTTTACTGTAAACGGGTGTATGTATGAGCAAAAACACTTCATAGCAAAACTACACAACCCTCATTGACCAGTTTCGCTGTCTATGGAGCAACTTTGCTTGGGAGCAGCTTTCTTACTGGATAGCCAATGTTGAGTAATGCTTCCAGCCAATGAGACCAAACGGATATTTTACGTACCTGGAGTGAGTCTTCCAAGTTTTGCCTTGCAGCGTGCTGTAGTTTTATGAAGGAGTGTGGTGACCCTTAGAACATCTTTGCTATGACAAGCTCTGGGAAAAGCAGCGAGATGCCGTAGGTTGTACAGGGGATTTTCCAGCATATAATGGACAAGGACTTTCCTTGGGCAAAATTGCTGGCATGTCTTAGCACAACGTTGAGGTTGAGGTCATTTTTGTAGCCCACACTTCAGCCTCTTTCTAGTCCCAAAGCAATAGCAAGTCTTACATTTCAAAAGGAGGCCAGGAATCCAGTTGTTGCAAGGCCACCTGGAAGGAACTGAGTTATTTTCCCAAATCATGTTGGTTGTCGCTCTTAGAGTACTGGCTGTCCGCTTTTGGGGGGGGAAAGCCATTTTTCAGTTCGTGCCGCCATTCTGTTAGAACCTAGTAATGAGGTCACTGATTTTTAGGGAATTTTGGAGCTAATTTAAAGAGTTTCTCCACCCAAAGTGATGTGAGCAATATGCGGGGGGGCTGAATCACTCTTCAGTACCTCTCCAGGTTTCTGGCAGCAACATTTGTGCACTTGAGTTCCCAGCTCCACCTATTTCCACATTCAGTATACAGGGGTCTCTCTTTTCCTTCTTCATTAAAGTCCAAATGTTTAACTGTTAGATTCAGAGTTACGGAGGGTAAGGACTTCTGTTGGGTTTTGCTATCTGAAGTCTTGTTAGCGAAGGTTCTTCTCACTTCCTGCTCCAGTGACAACGTTCTCACCAGACTGGAAATGAGGGAAAATCTGCAACAGGGACACAGATGTCAATAAAACGGTTTTGGGGTTCTAACCTTCCCCCTGCTCTTCTAAAAAAGTCTCCTCACTTCCTGTTCTGGTGACAATGTAGTTACCAGGTCAGGAATTCGGAGGAAATCTGAGAAGTTCTAACCCTTCTTCAATGTATCCAGAACTAAAACGGTTTTGGTTATGGCTGGAGATACTTCTTTTTTTTCTATGCAGCAAAAAATACCATTCTATATGCGAATCCACCGCAGGAGAAGAGACCTTCAGCTTTGGAGATTTTACCCATGATGTCTGCACAGAATGAGCCACACATAACTTAAATCTTAAAGTGATTAAGTCTTTAATAAAAAAAACTTAACATGCAGGTTTCCCTGGAAAGAACAAACACTTACCTGCCCCCTAACCATGCTACAGCACCCAAGGAATCTTCAGCTGTTGACATCCCAGGATTTTCAGATCCCTGGTCCCCCTCTGTGCTCTATGGTTCGATCCATCAGCTCCTAGGTCACTACAGGACACAGTAGTGGCGTTTGGACTGGTGGATCGAACTTCAGCACTTGGCAGGGGGACCAGGCCACCAACACACCCAGAAGTCTGATTTTATTCTAGCATCAGATCCGCTTTACCAGTAGTAGAAAAGCACAGTGGGGGTGCAGGAAACCCATTGCAAACAATCAGATCAGGCTTCATAACATCCCCCGCCTCAAGCTGCTGAACGCTGGCTTCTGCTTGGTTGCTCCCCACAAAATGGCTGCCTGTGCAGTGATGATTATATTTTCTTAGACCCAAGCTCCGCAAAAGGCTTCATAATGGCCCTGTGGCAAGAAAAGCAAATTCTCACTGGCCTTCCTGTTACTGATCAGCCACAATGAAGACATTGTGACTTCTGGGCCTTTAGAAGCCCCCATGTACATTGGGCCTTTGTACCTTCCTATCTCGAGCATGTCTATGTAAATAATGTATATGTGTGAGGAGAATTAAATTATTCTCATTTGTAAACATATGGATCCTGTTTTGTTTTAATACCTGAAAAAAAAAATTCTGGTCGTAGTAGAAATCTTTTTCTTTTTACTAAAACTTAGCGGTTTGAAATACAGGAGGGAATTTGTGTATACGGAGGCCTCCTTTTTAGGCAGATCTGAGCTATAAAGGTGGGTCTGCTTTAATCACACGCGCCGGCGGTAGAAGAGGAACGTTGCTTCAAAACTGTCAGACTAAACTTATACAAAGCCTTGCCTGTTGTACATCGTAGTTAATACTGACCCGTCCTGCTGCCCACGTGGCTGATCTTTGCGCTCTTTCGAAGAGCTTCCTCTGCCCGAGTTATCGGCTGCATCCGACACCTATGGAACTGTCCGATGCCTACTACATATAGGGGTCAGCAGAAGGAACCATGGCACCTAGTGAGGTGTCCGGCATCCAACACTCCCGGAC